GAACATCGAGGGATAGTGGTAAGACCATAAGACACAGGAACAGAAGTGAGCTGTTTGGCCCACTGGGTCTGTTCTTTGAGATCATGGCTGATTTAATGATCCTCAGCTCCACTTTGCTGTCTTTTCTCCACAAGCCTCAACTTCCACATGGACTAAAAACTTGCTGCCTTGAACGTACTTAACAACTAAGTCTTGACTGTCCACTGCAGTCAAGAATTCCACCAATTTACTTCTCTGCAGGTAGTCATTTCTCCTCATCACTATCATATGATTCTGACATTATGCCCTCTGGTACCAGACCCTCCCACAAAGGGAAACAAATTTGCTGCATCTATCCCATCAGGCACCCCCAAAGAATCTTCTCTTCAGTAGGTCTCCTACCATTCTTCGATACTCCAATGAGTAGGTCCTTCTCCTGAATACCTGGTAACAACTTGGTGAACCTTTTCTAGACTGCGTCCAATGCCAGCGTGTCATTGCTTAGATAAGGGGTCCAAAACCAGTGTTCCAGCTGTGGTCGGACAAGTCTCTTATACAGTTTTAGCAAAATCTCCCGACTTTTATACTCCTTACCCTTTCAAGATCAACATTCCATTTGCCTTACCTATTACTCGCTGAACTCTATGCTAGTTTTTTTGTGGTTCATGCGTCTCTGTTCTGTAAATTTCTGCAGTGCTTCCCCCTTTAAATGGCAAATCAGCTTCTCCATTCTTCCTGTCAGAGTACATACCTTACATTTTCCCACATTATATTTCATCTGTCACATTTTTGCGCACTCATTTAACTTGTCTATATCCCTCTGTAGATCGTACCATCCTCACAACTTGCTTTCCCAATTCAGAGATAGTAGGAACTGCAGATGTTGGAGTCAGAGATAACACAGTATGGAACTAGAGGAACACAGCAGGCCAGGCAGCATCAGAGGAGCAGGAAAGTTGGCATTTCAGGTTGGGACCCTTATAGAATCCCTACAGTGTGGGCACAGGTCCTTCGGCCCAACAAGTCCACACCGACCCTCAGAGCATCCCACCCATCTCCCTAACCTACACATCCCTGTTCACTAGGGGCAATTTAGCATGGCCAATCCACCTAACCTGCACATTTTTGGATTGTGGGGGGAAACCAGAGCACCCAGAGGAAACCCATGCAGACACGGGGAGAATGTGCAAATTCCACACAGACAGACAGTCTTCCGAGGGTGGAACTGAACCCAGGTCCCTGGCACTGCGAGGCCGCAGCGCTAACCACTGAGCCACCGCGCCACCGACCCTTCTTCAGAAAAAGGGTCCCGGCCCAAAATGTCAACTTTCCTGCTCCTCTGACGTTGCCTGGCCTGTTGTGTTCCTCCAGCTCTACACCATGTTATCTCTTGCTTTCCCAACTATTTTAGTGTCACCTGCAAACTGGGTGATAGTACATTCACGTCTGTCATTAATATACGTTATAATTAATTGTGGCCGCTGCACTGATAGCGCAAGAAAATGATGTTAAAGACGAAGATCAGCCATGATCCCATTGAATGGCGGTGTGTTTTTGAAGGGCTGAATGGCATACTCCTGCTCCTATTTCTGATGTTCTCTGTCAAGGCTAATGTTACCCATCTGCAGTCACTTGTCCATGTCAAAGCCATCTGCTGCCAGTATCTGGGCTATCATGTCCCTGTTCACCAGTCTCCAGCATTACATGCCACCTGTAAGAGCAGGTTTTAACATCTGACCTGACTCCTTTAAGAAATAATCAGAGGACTGGAAAAGAAATACATCAAGAAGACAGTGACAAAGATACTTTGCATACAACGAGTGTACACATGACATACACGTTTAATTGCACCACTTAGACTAATTTAACAGCAAGTTGTCAAAACTACAAAGACATGATTTTGGGCTAACTGCATCTATCATTCTCTCAAAAAGGCCATCAAACTACCACCAAGTTATTTGCGAAAGAAATGTGGGGGTTCTTATTATGGTCAAATACCTGGGTTTACCACAGGTTAAATATTTACCAGCTCAAATCAGAATGGCAATAAAATTTGAGCTGGGTTACAGCACCTGGAAGGCAGAACTTGTGTGAAGCTTCTTCCTAAGACGGTCAAGAATGAGGTCCAACTCATTGAAGGTAAACATCATTTCAGAAGAAAACGAAGAGGTGGGGGGGAAGAGGAGGATTAAAACAAAATCACCAAGTGAAAATCTGATGATGTTGTGGGGAAAAAGTGTGGTTGCCCAGTTTGACAAGAATAGCAGAGCACAACATTACTGTACTGCAACAAAGCGACTTCTACTGCAGGGGAGATGGAACATAAAAGTAGGAAAGTCTTGCCTCTGCTCTCGGGACACTGGTGAGATTGCACCTGGAGTACCGCATACAATTGTGGTCTTACTTCAGGAGTGATATTCTAGCATTGGAAACAGCTCAGAAAAGATTTAATTGGATAATTTGTTGACGACGAGAGTGTCTTATGAGGAAAGGTTGAGCAGGCTGGGTATTTACAGATTGGAGCCTCAGAGGGATGATCTTATGAAACATAAGATGGTGAACGGACTTGGCTAGATAACTGATCTTTGATAGTGTCCTGTTGGAGGGAGGCTGGAATGGTTGGGGAGTGAGCACTGTTTCAAGATAAGGCATCTCTCATTTAAGATGAGGACAAGAAGTTACCTCAGAGGCAGCTTTTAAAATCATCTCCCACAGAGTGCAGTGGAGGCTATAACAAAGACAGAGTTACACTGATCAACAAGGGGGACAAGGGTTATACAGAAAGGCGGAAAGTGGAGTTTAAGCCACAGACAGGATCGTCATGATGAATACAAACTCAACAGGCTGAATGGCCTATCCCTGTTGCTTCTGATCTTATTCAGAATGTAATTAGCAGTGAAGCACATCATCATCAGGAATAATGTCAACTTTCACAGAGAATGTTTTTAGTGTCATGCCTTCACATAAATTGCTCCAGGAATTGCCGCAACTTATTATGTATGTTGATAGCACTTCAGAATGGCAGAAGCTTCGTAGATCCTGGACAGTCTCTAACAACATTAGAACAAAGGACTCTGAGTTGACAAAGACAGGGAAGGGCAAGGCCATGGAAGCAAGGCCATTTGTGACAATTGAGGCCTCTTCTGCAGTACTGTGGACAGTTCTGGTCGCCCTGCTATAGGAAGGATATTATTAAGTTAGAGAGCATTCAGAAACGATTTAGCAGGATGTTGCTGAGAATGGAGGGTTTGAGTTATAAAATAGACTGGGACTTCTTTCATTGGAGCGTAGGAGGTTCAGGGGTAACCTTATAGAGATTTATAAAATTAAGAGAGGCATAGATGAGGTGAATAGCAAAAGGCCTTTCCCTAGGGTGGGGGAATTCAAAACTAGGGGGCATATTTTTAAGGGGAGAGGACAAAGATTTAAAAAGAACGTGAGGGGCAACATTTTTTATTTACACAGAGTGGTTCGTTGTGGAATGAACTGCCAGAGGAAGTGATGGATGCAGGTACAGTTGCAACATTTAAAATTCATTTGGACAAAAACATGAATAGGAATGGTCTGGAATGTTATGGGCCAAATGCAGGCAAGTGGGATTAGTTTGGTTTGGGTACATGGCTGGCATGGACTGAAAGGTCTATTTCCATGCTGTATGACTGAGGATCCACGATTATTTGGCTGATCAACTCAGCAAGTGAACTCATTTTGCTAAAAGCAATTCTTGTGGTCAAACACACAGCAAGTTGATCAGAGAAACTCAGGTCCTGCGTCGCTGTGGGCACAGGGCAATACCAAACACATGATAAAAATAAACAAAGCCTTCACCAACATTTAATATGTAAGATGGATACAACTCATTAGTGCTAGCAAAACAGATTTTTGCAAATTATGAAACAATCTCATCATTCAATGTTCACACAGGTTCGTCACTGGCTAGACACCTAATCACACTGATAAGACTATTTCTCAGTCCCTCAAAGCCTCTGCTTAATACTTCTATTTTTTCATATATTCTGGGAATAAACTCACCAACAGCAGTCAAATCACACCATAACAATAACTTTACACAGTTTTTATTTCACAACTGATCGAAAGAATCAAACGCAAACACTGATGTTCAAAAACTTCATTCCAAGTACTTTTCCCATCAATTTGAGACATAAAGGAAGGAGATTAGATGAGGTCATTCTGCAGTGCTAGAGATACAACCAGATCAGTCTTTCACACTTAACAGTATTGATTTGAGGTACCCCAGCTCTCCAGACTGAGCTGTTATCAGGCCAGTCCTTACATCAACAGGGGACTAATTCCTCAGGCAGAGATTACAAGGAAGGGCCTACTATACGGCAGGAAGTGCAAAGCCAGGCGATCGTCCACACAACCACATACACACAAAGGCATGTCACCCCGGAGCACAAGGGAGAAAATAAAAACAGTTACACAAAACACACAGGCTCACAAACAACATTTAAAAGAAACTGGTTAGTAAAAGACATCAAGAATGATCTACTTCCAGGTCAAATGCTGAAAAGTTGCAGAAGGCCACGAGAAGCTGCAGCAGCTTGCAGGCCCAGGCTGCCGGCACCATATATGTCAGCCACCTTCTGGAGAGGGACAGGAAGATGGAACAGACACACTCCATAACCAGGGCCTCCCTTTTCCTCAACACCTCATCCCAATCCTCACTTCCCTGCTCCCATCAGCTCCTCACCTTGTACTCTCAACCCGTCATCCCAACTCTCTAACCTTCAATCCCTCAGCCTCTGTTTCCAATCCTCACCCCTCCTCCCCTCAGCTTCCAATCTCAATCCCTCATTCCCTCCTTCCAATCCTCAAGTCCTTCCACTCTCAAACCTCTCCAACCCTTCACCTCTAACCTTCAACCCTTCACCCCCTTTCACTCCCGTCCTTCAATCCCTCTCTCCCTCCAGTCCTTCAATCCCCTCTCCCTCCCACCCTCACACCTGCCTCCCTCCAACCCTCACTCCCCACTCCAGGCCTTTCCTCCCCTTCCTCACCTGCTGATCGATGTCTCCCACCGCGAAGAACTTCACCTCCTTAAACAGGTCCGGGGTGACCGCCGGCTCCTCACTGCGCGGTATCTCCGACATGTCGGTGAGTGAGCCGGGGCTGCTGGTGCTGATGCCTGAGTACGGGTTACTCCCCTGACCCCTTCCCCTGTCTCTATCCCCGGAGACCCCACTCGATACATTCAGCAGCCCGCGCCTGCGCACCTCTCCTCCCCTCCCTGCCAGGGAACCCCCCAGCAGAACAATCCTAAAACAGCGAGGGGGGAATTCCCTAATCTATTTGAAATCACCCTGCACTCAAACCCGATCTCCATCCTTAAGCACAAATTTTGTAGATTATATGTCCTAATAACTCATCTACAAGAGCTCTTTTGTTCTTTACTTGTCTTTATTTTTCTGATAACTTAGGCATCTCCGTTCTATGGACCCCTCTCTGAAGTGATGGTCGGGTCCGCGTTCCAATGGGCGGGGCCTGGGTGGAACGCGGAGCGCGCGCGGTTTCCAGGCGGCGATTGTTACAAATAACGCGGGAAATGTTGCCACTTTGCAAACATTGAGCTCCCTGGTCTCTGACTCACTGCAGGCTGAGGCATTATCTGTAAATGTGCCTGACACCCAGTGACCAACACAAGGATCACGCTGACTAAAAAAAACTAAAATGATAATACGTACCCCCAATCAAAATAAGATGAGCGCAACATTATCTGGCCTCTGGAATCCCAAGCAAAGAGTTTGACTGCTTCCTTAGTCTGGCAGTTTCTGACAGAGACAGGGAGAGGGAAATATTTCCCCAGAGTAATTCTTTTTTCCCAATTCCTAAAGGGTTTTCAGGTTATTTGAAAACGCAACGGTTTTTTTTCAAGTTATGGTATATGCTTCTTGCAGTTGATTTCAAAATATTCATTTCATTTTTCTAAAAGTATTTTCATTCACGTGCGGTTTAATTAGTTTACGTTATTGTTTACAACATAAGTATACGCTGGGAAAAAGTGGGCAGAGTTGTGCTTCTACAAACTGTCAGTGTTTTGTGATAACATTTTAAGACTCCAAAAAAGTTTAAAATACCGAGTGTGGAGAAAAGTGAATGTCTGTTTCAGAATTTTAAATCTGTTTGTCTGTCCACAGATGCTGTCAGACCTATGGAGTTTCTCCAGCACTTCCCGTTTGTATGAAAATTCGGCATTTCTGCTATTTAAGACTAACTACCAAATGTCATATCCAGGTGAGGAGGGATGGGATGACTTTCTTGTTTATTATTACTCCTCCAGTAACAGGGCAATCACAAATCTGTAAAGCAGGACTTACCAGTCCTGTGTATGGACTTCCATAACAAGGTGTAGAGCTGGATGAACACAGCAGGCCAAGCAGCATCAGAGGAGCAGGAAGGCTGACGTTTTGGGCCTAGACCCTTCTTCAGAAATTTGCTTGCCTGTTTAAGGAATTAGCCAGGTAATTTTTCTTTGAGGTTTTAATAAGGTAAAGTTTATTCTGAAACCAACCTAAGTAAACACTAGAATAGGCCACTTGGCTTCTTGAACCTCCTCCACCATCCAATAAGATTACAGCTGAACTCATGACTGCACAATCCCTTCCAGCCCCTTTCTCATCAAGAATCTATCTGCCTCAACATTAAAAAATATTCAAGGACTTTGTAAGCAATGCCTTTTGTGGAACATACATCCAAGACTCATCACTGGGTGGCATGGTGGCTCAGTGGTTACCATTCCTGCCTCACAGCACCAGGGATCTGGATTCGATACCTATCTTGGGCGATTGTGTGGAGTTTGCAGATGGGTTTCCTGCGAGTGCTTCAGTTTCCTTCCACAGTCCAAAGATGTGCAGGGGGAGGTGATGACCTAGTGGCATTATCGCTAGACTGTTAATCCAGAGACCCAGATAACGTTCTGGAGACCCAGGTTCGAATTTTGCCATGGCAGATGGTGGAATTTGAATTCAATGAAATATCTGGAATTAAGAATCTAATGACGAATCCATTGATTGTCGGAAAAACCCATCTGGTTCACTAATGCCCTTTAGGGAAGGAAACTGCCATCCTTACTTGGTCTGGACTACATGTGACTGCAGACCCACAGCAATGTGGTTGACTCATAACTTTCCTGTGGGCAATTAGGGATGGGCAATAAATGCTGCCTGGTCAGTGACACCCTCATCCCGTTAATTAAAAAAAACGGTTGTATGGATTGGCTGTGGCAAATGCAGGTTCTGGTTGGGATATCCTTCGGAGGGTTGGTGGGGACCCAATGGGCCGAATGGCCTGCTTCCACACTGTGTAGAGATTCTATGACTCTCACTCCTGTTGGGAAGAAAATTATCATCTTTGCTTAAAATGGGTAACTCCTCATTTTTCAGTGATGAATATTTCTAGATTCTTCCACAAGAGGAAGCATCTTTTCTACAACCACATTACCATAAGAAATAGGAACAGGAGTAGGCCATTCAGTCCCTCGATCCTGATCCACCAATCAATAGAATCAAGGCTGATCAAAAAATCCTCACATCCACTTTCCTGCCTCTTCCCTATATGCCTTGATTTCTCTATTTAATTAAGAATCTATCTATCTCAGCTTTAAATATACACAAAGACTGCCCCCACAGCTCTCTGCAGTAAGGAGTTCCAAAGACTCTCTCAACCCTCTGAGAGAAGAATGTCCTCCTCATCTCAGTCCTAATTTTGCACCCCTTCATTCTGAGACAATGCCATCTGGTTCTAGACTCCCCTATGAGGGAAACATCCTCTCAGCATTTATATTGTCAAATCCCTTAAGAATCCAATATGTTTCAATGAGATCACCTGTCAATCTTCTAATCTGCATGGGGTAGAGCCCCAACCTCTTTCACCTTTGCTCATCATACAATCCCTCCATACCAGGGATCATTCTAGTGAACCTTCTCTGAGCTGCCTCCAATGAAATGATATCCTTCCTTAAATAAGGAGACCAACTCTGCTCACGGTTTTCCCAAATGTGGTCTCACCAGCACCCTGTATGGTTGCAGTAAGACTTCCCCACTCTTGTACTCCAATACCCTTGAAGTAAGGGCCAACATTCCATTGGCCTTCCTGATTACCTGCTGTACCTTGTGTGCTAGCTTTCTGTGTTTTGTGCACAAGTCCCCCCGCAAGTCCCTTAGGATCTTCTATGTTTTAATCAAGGTGTCACTTATTAACAAAACTCCAATGTATATGAAACAGCTGCACAGATGCCGGTATCCCATCACCAAGTCACCCTTTATTTACTTGTGCACAATACACTGGCTATGGCCGGCCAACTTGGAGTCAATCCCCTGAACTGAGGAGATTCTAAATCCCCTAGTTATATTAGTCAGCCAGGGCTTCCTGATTAGCCCAATCAAGGATCTCGTAGTCAACAAGATCCAACTGGTCCCAATCACTACAATATACAAGAAACCCAAAGAACTGTAGATGCTGGAAATCAGAATCCAAAACAGAAATTGCTGGGAAAACTCAGCAGGTCTGGCATCATCTGTGGAGCGAAAGCGAAGTTAACGTTTTGGGTCCAGTGACTCTTCTTCAAAACATCTAGTGGATACAAGGTTTAGCCTGCAAAGTAACGTGACCAGTTGATCCAACATGTGCACTCAAATTTTATACACATAATCGCAGATCAAAAGTAGTTCTTGGTAAATTTGACCCAGTCAGAGAAATAAGAAACAGTCCAGCTGGTAGTTTGATCAACTGTAGAATTTTAAATGCTTTTGGTTCCTGAGCCATTCAATGTTTTAAGATGTAGATAGAATATCCCTTTCCCTTCTGGGAACATCGCTGTCAAAATTCAGTGTAGAATTTTCTGCCCACTTGCAGGGAGGTCGACCCAGTTTACAACTCAACAGAAGCTTAGCTGTGCGACTGAAATGGGGGCAGAGGGGGAGAACAGCTTTTGCTCAGTCCTGCCAGTAACATCTGCCACCCAAGTCCAAATACACATACATGCATACGTAAAAACTTGTTTCTTCACCCGACTTCCATATAAATGCCATCAATGGGGAGGTAGTGGTATTATGGCAACTGCTCAGTCCCCGGCCGTGCACTCAGATCCTGTGCGGACCAACTGACTGAGGTATTCACTGACATCTTCAACATCTCCCTCCTACAAGCCACAGTCCTCTCCTGCTTCAAGAAGACCACTATCATCCCCTTACCTAAGAAAGCACATGTAACGTGCCTTAATGCCTACCGCCCAGTGGCTCTGACCTCAATAATCACGAAGTGCTTCGAGAGGCTGGTCATGGCCCACATCAACTCCAGTCTCCCAACCTGCCTCAATCCCCTGCAGTTTGCCTACCATCGTAACAGGTCCACTGCAGATGCCATTTCTGTATCCCCACACTCATCCCTGGAATATCTGGACAACAAGGACGCCTACATCAGACTCCTGCTCATCGACTACAGGTCCGCCTTCAACACCATTATCCCCTCCGGACTGATCTCAAAACTTCAAGACCTAGGTCTCAGTTCTGCCCTCTGCAACTGGATCCTCAGCTTCGTGACCCTCAGACCGCAATCAGTGAAGATAGACAACTGCATCTCTTCCAGGATAACCCTCAACACTGGAGCCTCCCAAGGTTGCGTTCTCACCCCTCTACTGTATTCCCTGTACACCCATGACTGTGTAGCCAAATTCTGAATAAACACCATCTACAAGTTTGCTGACGACACCACCATGGAAGGACAGATATCAAACAACGATGAGTCAGAATGTGGAAGAAAGATAGAGGGCTTGGTGTCGTGGTGCAATGATAACAATCTCTCTCTCAATGTTGGCAAAACTAAAGAATTGATCATTTCTTTCAGAAAGAACGGAGGAGAACACGCACCCCCTCACCCACCCATTTACATCAACAGAGCAGAGGTTGAGAGGGTCGAGAGCGTCAAGTTGCTAGGAGTGACGATAACGGAAAATCTATCCTCTACTTCCCACGTCAAGAAGGCACAACAACGCCTCTTCTTCCTCAGGCGGCTCAGGAAATTCAGCATGTCCATAAGGTCCTTCACCGACTTCTACAGATGCACCATTGAAAGCATACTGTCCGGGTGCATAACAGCCTGGTATAGCAACTGCTCTGCCCAGGACCGTAAGAAACTACAGAAGGTGGTGTGCACAGCCCAGACCATCACGAAGCCAATCTCCTATCCATGGACTTAAT